GCCCAATTATATTGTCAGATGGAAACTTCTTAAAAATCTGTGTTAAAGTGTATATCAAGCCAGAAACTTTTTTATATAGTTTTGGATAGAGTGGGGAAGGAATAGAACTAGGGATGCACTGATACCGGTTTTTCGGTATCGAGTACAAGTACTGATATTTTTTTTCTGTACTCGCCGATGCCAAATACCAACACCAGAAGCCCCATTAAGGAAGCCAGGCGGCGTGTAATGACTCACCACCCAGCTTCCCGATTAGCAGGAAAGCCGTCTTCATGCTCCCTCATCACCGGGTAACGAGGAAGCATGGAGCTGGCTTTTTTGGTCAATCAGGAAACAAGGGGTTGTTAAACAAAGGTCATGGGTAGGTCCCCCAATGTTATGTGATTTTGAGGATGAATTTGAAAAAAACAATTCTTCAAATTACATCTTTCAGAGATGCATTTAAGATATATGTGGTGCTACAGAACAGTACATCTTAACTCCAGTAGGTCCCATCGCACTCCTGACAGGATAAAACCCTCAAATATTGGGTGGGTGCTGAGGTGACTGCAGATGCCTCTCCAAATCAGTAAGTATGTAGTAGAAAGTCACTTGCACTCCAACTTGATTTTCTGTCAAGCTTTATTGACAAAGGTTTTGTCACATTGTATATCGACGTTTTGGAACCGTGTGATCCCTTCTTCAGGCAAGTATACACTTTGTTTGCCTGAAGAAGGGGCCACATGGTTCTGAAATATCGCTTTACAATGTGACACAATCTTTGTCAATAAAGCACTGGCAGAAAATCAAGTTGGAGTGCGAGTGACTTTCTACTACATACAGAACACTACAATTCTCCAGGATGGTGTCAGTGACATTCTAATCTGGCATTACACAATTTGTGTGTGTAATAATTTTTTGACATTTTAAATTATTACTTGACTTACATCAAGATAAGCCAAAAATATAGCACATGCATGCTGCACATTAATCATGGAAACCTTTTTAGTTGGCTGCATTTAAAAAAAGAAGATGAGCCACTTGCTTTATCAAGATATAAAAATGACAATGAATTATGTCAGAGGCAAGGGCCAGAAATATTGTGCAGTCAACACTGAATCAGTTAGAGTAGAATACATTTTTTTATATGTATCAGATTCTCAATGAATTAATATGTCACATACATCATACATTATATTACTACAAATTCTTGTAGATCACATTGTCAAAACCACATCCCCATTTATCTTTGGAGGGAAAAAAAAGTAAAAGTTAGATTTCTTAGATTCCATTAGATACACAGTATACACAATAGTTCTATGATTAAAAAAAACTATTCTTCTTTGGAGTGTTCAACAAAATAATAACAATTTTAAAATAATGTATTGTTTATTGTTTTGAAAATGTTTATGGTTTAGGGGTCAAGCAGGACCTGCTCGACCCCTACTAGCCTCTGCCACTCCCTTTAGGTTTCCCAGGCATAAAGACAACAGGGATTGCTTAAGTTTATTACCAATTTTGGCAATGTATTGAAAAAAACTAATGCAGAGCTAAGTGATTCATAAATATGCAATTATGTGAAAACATTAAAACAATCCAGAAGTTGAAAACATTTAACTAAATAGTCCTAAAAACAGGAAATAATATGCTGTATAAATAGTCTTCCTCCACTGTGTGAATAAAGTGCCATTTTGTGCAAATCCTCACAAGTAGTGAAAAGGTTGGTATTTGATGAAAGAACACGTCCCAGTACATTGGACCCTTAGGGAGTAAGGGTGGGCAAATCCTCCCTAATGCACATTATGAGCCTAACAATAGGAGACAAGGAAAGAGGGATACATACATCATGTAAAAATATATTTAGAAAATATATGGCCTTCCCCCTCCCTCCAAAAAAACAGCTTTTTTATGCTAAGATTATCATGGACATAAAATGCTTTTCATCTGAAGCAGCTGTTTTCAACAATTCCAGCAGAAAATGTTAGGCACTGCTGGTCATATGAACCTGGGGAACTGGTGTATTGGATACATTTGGCTAACTACATTTGACTACTTACTACTGGCATCCAAATTGGAGAAGTATACAGATGCTGAAAACAATAGCTAAAAAGTAAGGCTGTCAGTTAAATGTCCAGTTTATCTTGGCATTGAAGCATCAGCCTCTCACAATGTTCATATTACATCAAAACTTGCTATACAACTGAAAATGTATATGGCAGTAGCCTGCTAAATTGTATGAAACACTCAATATATCATACAGCTCGCTACAGTGAAATGCAACCTTACTAAGGTTTTGTCACATGCAGTAGCTACACGGTATGCTTTTATCGGTTAAGACTTAATTAGAAAAAGCTCCCATCATACTATCATGTAGGCAACAAAGCCATGCCATAAACTGTCCACGGGCGGTTACATGTTAAAAAAAACACATATGGGGTTGATTTAATGTTAAACCACATTTTGTTATTGTCTATGAGCACCTTTTTGAACAGGATTTCATTTGAAGATTTAATTGTAAATGTAATTTGAACACATTGCAAGATTTGTTCTATTTAAATTTGTTTGACCAAGTGTGGTAAAGTGAATGGACATCTGTTCATGTGTCTTTAAAGATTTAATCCAAAAACGATTTTCTTTCATTATCAACATGATACTTTAATGCCAGAAGGACTTCAGCTGCCATTGCTAACATCACAGAGCTTCAGAAATCTTAGAACCATTGAAACATTGAAAAGAGCAGTTAGCCTAGACAGTGAAAAACATTAAAGGCAAGGAAGTGTAACAACCCTGATGGCATTAGCTATGTTTACTGCAAAAAAAATCCTTAATTAATTAGTTCCACATTTTTAGAATTCTAAAGTTCAGTCACAACAGAGAGCATTGCGTTCTAAAGACCTAGCAGGTCATGATATCTTTAATTCATAAAGCCAATGTCAATCTCTTCCAATACTGAAATTAAAGACTGATAAGCTCCTCAGAAGGCTAATATAAAGTTAATGAACGAAAAGTCACTCTTTACTGATGCAGAATAATCAGACTGAAAGTGTCCTCACAAAGAAGTTTTGAAAATAGAAATTGCACACAAAAGCTGGAACACATGCACACATTTGTTTATAGCATTAACTTAAAGTTAACCTATCAGCTATTTTAAAATTACTTCATATTAGTCTCAAGTAAGTTCATAAATTATATCTAAATCTTTAATAGATATTGCATGCAAATCTAATTTGTATTTTTGAATGATAAACTATATCTGAATCTAAAACCTTTTTTTTTCCAGTAGGTAATAGGTAAGACCGTTATCCTTATTTTGTTTTTGCTTCTGTGTTTCATTGGTTTCACTTCATATTCCTGTAGGCACAACAGCAAGTAGGAGGAAATCACTTCAAAGTTAGTTATTGCTCCCCATACAGTAACTTTCCAGTGCTACCCCACTGCCTGATTTACCACCAGAGCCTCTGGAAATCTGTATGCATCCATCAGCTTTCTGTGAGTTAGTAATTTCACAGGATTAACCAAGCTTTGCTACTTGACAGTAACCAGGCCTGCCTATTGGCCACTCAGGTAACAAGTGCTTTGTTGGGAAAGGCAGGGAATGTCACAGTGAGATCTGCTGGTGTCTTCCATTACATAAACTAGCCGGAAAAACCTTATTTTATGCAGATTTAGATTTAGCTTTACTTTGATTTAGCTTCACTTTCTGCTAGGGGACTGACTTGGGTTAAGCCCTTCCAGCATGTAGGCTACAAGTCCTAGAAAAACAACACACCAAAGACTTTAGTATTTTTTAAATAAATTATTGTGCTTCCTTCACTTGCTTTTTAACAGAATGCTCCCTACAGTTTAGAGGAGCTGTCTGTAGGTGAATCAGTGGCTGCAATGCTTAAGATAAGTTTACAGACAGGTAAACAGTGAGAGAAGCAAGAACCAGGTACTAGATAGTAGATACTGAGCAGTCAAAAGTCAAAAGTAGATACTTGCGCTGCTGAAATGTGTGACTAGTATTATCTTTTAACCCCTTGCTGCTGGCATGTTAAGGGGGTTGTAATGGCAGAGGCTGATAGAAGGGGTTCTTGATTATGCAATCACTGTGATTGCATGCTTTGTGGTGATGTGGTCCTACTGACTCTTGATTGGTGGTGGTTGATTGTGAGCTGATGGTGGCAGCTCAGTCACAGTTCTGAGGGTGCCAATTAAGTGCACCAAGTTAATTGGCACCCTCAGAACACAGTGGCCCATAAATGTGGTAGGTCAGCATTAAGCCTTGTCTCCATGCTGCCACATGCATGAGGTCCACGGAAAGTATTTAAGAATGCATTATTACATAACAAGGAATTATGTAGATAGTAACTCATTAGGCAACTGTCTACACTGATGAACTAAAAAAGTATTTAAAGGTAAACTACAGTCAGAATAAAAAAAATCAGTAATCTTACAAAATTCCTGTCTACACTGATGAACTAAAAGAGTGTTTAAGGGTAAACTACAGTCAGAATAAAAAAAATCAGTAATCTTACAAAATTACAGGTAGGATATATGCCCTCGATACAAGACTGCACAGTAAAGTATGTAATTTGTACAGTACAAACATACATTTTTTACAAAAATCTTTTTTTTAAAGCTGTGTTTAAAAAAAGAATTACTTTCAGGGCTCTTATTAATATTGCAGACAAAGGTTACATCCTCATGTCTAAGTGCACACCAAACACTGATCCCTTATCTGCCATGCAATGATGTTTCCCAAAGTGTGGTGCAATGGTGGGATTTACCTTCAATGCAGGAGGAATACTAAAGAGTTGATTATTTTGTGCATGACTACATCGGGAAAAATATACTTACCTTACTGCCAGCTACTATTCAAAGATAGAGGAAACATAGTTAAACTGTAGAGGCTGAGATTTTGGTACATGATTTGAACACACTTTGGGAGACACCTCTGTACAACAACTTTTTCGGTGAAATTGCATTTAATATGTATGTGAACTTACAATATGTGCAACATTATACATTTCTGCACACAGGTGATCAAGATTTATTTTGAAGTTTTTGAGCTAGAAAGAGGCTATGACACCCTAACTATTGGAGATGGTGGAAAAGTAGGTGACACACGATCAGTTTTATATGTGTAAGTATAATATTTGTACAGCTTTGTAATCAACTTCCTCATTATTTGTAAATTAACTTCTATTAACCTGCCTACATATTCTGCCATGTAATGTGCATTACAGTGACACTAAACTCAGGAGTTAAATCTTAAAAATGCATTCAATTACACTTTCCTTCCTTCTGGAGGGTGGCTATTTCTCTTCCCCCATGATGCCTGTGTGTGTTGTAAAGTAGCCACCTCTCCAAGTTCACTCCCATGTAAAGTAGCCACCCTCCAGAAGGAAGGACAGTGTTGGCATGAATTCATAGATGATTTGAGAATCTATAGCTCAGTGATACACAAATAAGCTAAATTTTTTATTATTAGTTAGGGTACTCAAATGCATTTTTAAGGTTTTACTTCTGAGTTTAGTGTCACTTTTAGCATGCATTCACTGGAACTCCTGCTATGTAACTTCCAACACCAGTGGTGGGTCCTTCCTTAAGGCAAAGCAAAAGTGATCAGAAATAAAGTCTCAGCATTTGCCAGAAACCAATTTGTGTTAGGTCATTGATTAACATATCCAGTGAATGGCAAGACAAAATGCAGTGGTAACAAATGAGACCAGTATAAGGGCCCAAAAGAGCCAGTGTTGCGATTTAAAACAACCTTAAAGGTATGTTTTCATTTCTGTGCCTGTTCTAAATTTATATGCTATCATTTTTACTAGTCGTTGCACAAAATCACATTACATAGCATAATTCCTTCAGCAAATATCTGAAATGGAAATCTAAAGTTGCAGATACAACTTAAAGGCTTTAATAACACATTGATATGTGTATATTAACATGTTTATGTCTTAATAACTGTATGTAGTGTATATATGGGCATTTAAAAAAAAATGTTTTTTTTAAATTGTGTCATACAGTCTCACAGGTTCCAGTGTACCGGATCTTATTGTTAGTATGAACAACCAAATGTGGCTGCATTTACAATCAGATGACAGCATTGGATCTCCAGGATTTAAAGCAATTTATCAAGGTCTGTTTAATATGTGTTTAATGTGATTACAAAAATAAAAAAGTAAAATGTTACCTATATAAAATAGTACACAAATAAATTTACTTTTATTATTATGCTGATTTTATCATATTATGTGTGATAAGATATAGTGGATAGACATTTTACAGTAGAAGAAAATACAGCTGCCGTATGACAGTATACTATTTTGCCGGTGTGCTATATAGTATATTACATGTTTGAAGGATGAAACCATATTCATGACAACTATGGAGCCAGTAAAGGTAATATAAAGTCACAAACCCTGATCTGTATGCTAGAGTGAGGTCAGTGACTTAAAAATCATGCATTAGATCAGCATAACTACCAGGCAGCTGGTATTTTCAGACAGAAAGGTCTGCAATGAGAGCCTACATATTTCTCTCAAAGGGTTCCTTTAGAGTCCCTATTATTCGGACTCTTTTCATAGTATAAATTTGGGATGTAGATGCAGGTATACTCATAATTTTGTGCTCTAGTGCTCTAGTTAATTTTATTTATTAAACGGAGCGCTGTTGGTCTGTGTTAGTACTGAAGTATGCATTATTTAACTATATTATTTCTAGTGGCCAACCTTAGGACCCAAAAACCTCAGGCTACTGTGTTCAAATGCATATTCAGTATGTGCTCTGGGAGCCTAAACATGGTCAGTTATGCTATGCCAAATTATCTAGCAGTAATTACTGGTGGCCATATGATGATTGTGAAAAATTCCATTCATTATTACAATGCAAGTTAACAATGCAGAGGTTAATACAAATGATTGAGGCAATCTGCAACCAACTGAGTAAACATTTAAAGCCACAGTTTCCACCCTTGTTTATGAAAGGAAACATCAAGGTAGAATTATGGGCAAAGATATTGCTGACTTGTATTTCAAGGTGCAAGCTGTAGGGCTGATTCCCATAACTATCCTTCACTGCTTGTCAAGCCAATGGCCTGGAGAGGGCATCTGCATTGAAAATGCTTGCCTGCTTTTATGTATGCTTTTGTCAGTGAAGTACCAATTATTTGTTTACCGTGTTTACCAATTGTATATTCAATCAGATGGTGATAATAACAACTGGAAATTTGTATTACTATGGTAATAATCTGCCAATATAATGCACACATCTAGCTTTGATTCCGTTGTTTGATGTATTTGTTTCTATGGTGACAAATAGAGACTATTAAGTTTCAAAAGGAAACTGGAAAATCATGCTTATTGAATGTACATATGAAATTATATGTGTAAAAGTGTTAGCCAGTGACAATGTATGTTACCTATACATGGCCAACTGTTACAGTTAAAATAGATACGTTTCCATACAGATTAGAACTTTTTCTTAGGCATTGAACAATGGAAATGGAGATGCATACTATAACATTTTTAATCTAAAGAGATTAGGACAAAGTGTTAGCTAAAGCTCTGTACACATGGAGAAATTTCGGGGGGTTTTTTGTTTAGCCTGTGAGCCTGAACAAAAAAATATGACATATTCCATCGTCTATGCTAACAGCATGAGTGAATTAATCTCCCATTGTGTACATTGTATTTTGACAGTGGTGCCCACTTTAGAATCACAGAAATTATAAGTATGCTACTATGGCTTTCAAATTTCTCTGTATATTAAAATATAATTAGAGATGGCTGCCCACTCTTCTTATTTTTTTCAACTATTTGGTGTAAACTTGACTTCCTCTTCTTCAGTAATTTTCTGCAAAGGTAAACAATAGCTTTTCTAGAATCGACAGCCTGGTGTATTTATAGAATGAATGAATGAACATGTAATATGTGAATTGCATGCTACCAGAACAAGTGGCAAAGTACTGTAGATCAGAAAGCAGAGGGGTTAGAGTGTTTGTTGTAAATAATTGTCTTTCTATCTTTATAATTTAGCTATGAGAAAAGCATGACATGATTCCACATTACAAAATGTAATAATTCATTAATTGATTGCCTCATTAAATGTTTTTGGTTGAATTTAAATCTTAATGTATCTCTGAGTTTTGTGACTCTGTATCAGACCACTGTGTTAAAAGTTGTGATTACACATTTTATACTGTAAGTGGTAGCTTGATAACATTTCTTGGTGCTTGTAATGTGTACAAGGAAAGTTGTAATATTAGAAGATTTTGTTGCTAAAACTGCAATTGCAAACTGCAATGTTACTGAAAAATGTACTTGTTTGCGTGCAGTTCCTCAATAACACATAGCAAGCATAATTAAAAATTAATTAATTATGGGTATGAGGCAGCCTTTATTTAGCCCTAACACTTTCTTGTAGATTTTTAATCCATATCTTCCAACCTAAAGCCATGTCGACAATTTGACTATACTCTGATAAACTCAGGGCCAGTGCTAAATTATTTTGCGCCCTAGTCAAGACCAGCTACTGCACTCACCAGCCCCTCCGCTGCGCAACCCCCCTCCCCTCTGCGGGTGGCCCCATTCTCCTGCCAGATAGCCTCCGCAGGCAACATGTGGATGTAATTTAATTTGAAATAGGCAATAGCAGACTGACTATTGAAAATACACCCACTGAGAAGAGGAGTAGACCTGAGAGAGAAAGTTGCCTCTCAGTTCCGCTCCTCTGCTTAGTGGGTGTGTGCAATAGCTAGCCTGCTATTGGCTTTTGCAATTTTAAAAAGACGGGGGTGACATGGGGGGGTGATTGAGGCTGCACCCTAGGCACTGGCCCTGGATGAACCACTAACATTTTAGACCCTAAAAACAAGACAGCTAGGTGGTATAATGAAATCACAGGTTTTGATCTCACACTATAAAACTAACACTAGATTAGACATGTGCCTTATTTAGTTCTACCTTCATTGATGTGGAACATGATTTAGCTGGATCAGTGTGCTTTTCCTTTCAAATAACTGTCAATAAAACAACGAAAAAGACAATACTGGCGCCCCCGGTTTGCAGAACGGTCCGGCTGTAAAGTTCGTTAATACACCATAGAGGCAGCTCCCACCGGTCAGAAATATCTTTAAAAATAAATATTTCCAAAAATAAAAATCCCATATTGGTTGGGGCCGTTTTTCCAATCTTTAAAAGATGTATAAATTATGTTTATGTATATATATAAATGGATGGTACGAATGTATGATTTAACATAGTCATTTACCAGGATGAGAGGACACAGTGTGTATTTAAATATATGTGGATATTTAAAAGTTACATTTAAAACAATACATTTAGAAAATTTAAATTCCGTAAGGACTATGTCAAAGAGGCTCATCGATTGTTGTCCGATAGTTCCACATATGCCAAATTAGATGGAGATCCCACAGCTGTATATAAGGGGCAACTCAACACCCTTCTCAGAGAAGCCAAGGATAATGGTGTACTTTCCAAATCTGAATCACAATTTTTAACTGTGGGCCACCCTTGTGTGCCGTATTTTTATCATATACCTAAAATCCATAAAAACCCATCATTGCCCCCTGGGAGACCAATTATAGCTGGCATGGATAGCCTCACTTACAATCTAGCCAGTTATATTGATTATTTCTTTCAACCACTAGTGTGTGAAATACCCTCCTTTGTGAGGGACTCTAGCCACATCCTGGAGATTTTGAAACCTTACAACTGGAAGGAAGGCTACCTTTGGGCCTCCCTAGATGTGGCATCTTTGTACACCTCTATCGAGCGCCAACCAGGTTTAGAAGCAGTACAACACTTTCTGATCAAATCAGGGTCCATCAATTCCTCCCAAGCAGCGTTCATCCTTAAAGCTATTGAATATACCCTAACCCATAACTATTTCACTTTTTTGGGTGAACATTATGTCCAATTGAAGGGTACGGCTATGGGAGCCAGGTTCGCTCCGAGCTATGCAAATCTTTTTATGGCGTGGTGGGAACAACAATACATTTGGACTAATAACCCATTTGGCAACCCGTTACATTGATGACATTATTATTATTTGGGAGGGTACTGAGACTGAATTTTTGGACTTTGTTAAGTATTGTAAAAAGAATCCCTTCCAACTGGATTTTACTTATGTGGTAGATAAGATTTTTTTGGTATTCCTTGATTTGGAGCTGAGTGTGGACAACAAAGGAGAAATTGTTTCCAAAACGCATTTTAAGCCTTCTGCAGGTAATTCATATTTACATGCAAGAAGTAGCCGACACACTAAATGGATCAAAAATGTCCCGGATGGGCAATTTGGAAGATTAAGAAGGACTTGTACTCAGGATTCTGATTATGCCAAACAAGGAGAGATCTTAAAGGAAACATTTTGTGATAAGTTGTACGACCAAACCCTTATTAACAAAGCTTTTGAAAAACATCAAGTGCCCCCCCCCCCACACAATGACGAAGAAAAAAAAGAAAATACTTCCAGATATCAAACTAGTTTCTGCACCCAATATAACAATGCAGCTTTTCGCATTGGTCATGTCCTAAGAAAACATTGGGGAGTACTAAAAGAAGATCCATTCTTAATTACATCTCTCCCCAGGGCACCTCAAGTAATTTTTCGCAAACCTAATGACCTGCGCAGACAGATAGCCCCAAGTAAAATAAAGACCCAGAGGGGTTTACATCTGGACCAGGGAATATTTGGTCAAACCGGTTGCTATAGGTGCAATGCACCAAATTGTGGTGCCTGTGCCTATTTTTGGCACAGAAAAAAAGTGGTGGAGGGACAAAAAGGGAAAGTGTTTCATATCAAACAATTTATTAATTGTGCATCTTCCTTTGTTATTTATGGAATTCTATGTCCTTGTGGCAAATTATATGTGGGACGTACCATTAGAACTTTAAGAACGAGATTTGGCGAGCACAAAAGAAACATAATTAAAAAAGCTGATGACCATTCAATACCTGTACACTTTTTGAATTTTCACAACCATAGTCCTGAAGGCATGAAGGTCTTTGGTATTGAACTAATTTCATCAGATCTGGACGAGGGGAATAGATACAAAAGGTTATGTCGGAGGGAGGCATTTTGGATTTACTCATTAAATAGTCTTTTCCCCATGGGACT